CATCTTCATAATCTTGCATTGGAGTATCATGTTCATTTGGGAGCATCATGATGTCTTCCTTGTTCTTGTTTCCTTGGTTTCTGTATTTGTTATTTGGTATTGTGGAGATATTCTTTGGTTTCTTCTTCTTCTTTATTTTTTGCTATGGTGGCTTTTCTTGTTATGCTATGACTCTAGATTAAGAGGATTGTCTGCTTTTGGTGAATCTCTAGAGGCTTGTGTTGGGTGTGGCCAGAGAGCTCTATTCAGTGCTTCAGAGTTAAGGGTGTGCCAAAGGTGACACACCCAGGTTTGGCATGGTAAATCTCTCTCTCTCTCTCTCTCTCTCTCTCTCTCTCTTCATTTTTTTTTTAATTCAGAAGGGAAGTAATTCCGCTCAGCTGAGCTCTTCTCCTTCATGCCTAGCCCCAGTGGGTATAATATTAGTCTGCTCTGTCCCAAGGACCATACAAAGGATCTGTGCAGTTCTCAGTGTAAGCTCAGATTCCCCTGCAATGTCTCTCACCAGGTAGCCAAAGCCGCCCAAATTTGTGGCATCTCCCACTGAGACTACTCATGTCTTAGTCACACCATGAGTTCTCCCACACACTCTCTTTTTTATTTTTATTTTTTGGACAGGCAGAGTGGACAGTGAGAGAGAGAGACAGAGAAAGGTCTTCCTTTGCCATTGGTTCACCCTCCAGTGGCCGCCATGGCTGGCGCGCTGCGGCCAGCGCACCGTGCTGATCTGAAGCCAGGAGCCAGGTGCCTCTCCTGGTCTCCCATGTAGGTGCAGGGCCCACGCACTTGGGCCATCCTCCACTGCACTCCCGGGCCATAGAAGAGAGCTGGCCTGAAAGAGGGGCAACTGGGACAGAATCTGGTGCCCCGACTGGGACTAGAACTCTGGGTGCCAGTGCCGCAGGTGGAGGATCAGCCTAGTGAGCCACAGCGCCGGCCACACCCTCTTTTTTTTTTTTTTTTCACAGACCTGGTTCCTAAGTTCCACACATTCACTAGGTCTTAGTCTCCTGTTATTTCTCCACACCAGAGTTAGGTTTTTCTGATTGGCTGAGGGTGGGCACAGCCCCGAGGTGGTGCAGCTGTTATGTATGTCCAAAATGGCACCTGCTCTATTGTCTCGCTCGTCTTTGTAAGTTGAGTGAAGAGAATCGTGTCCTACAGGTCCCTTTTATTTTTTTTCTCTCCTCTAGTTAGGCTGGTGTACTTTCCCCCACAGGGCTTCAAGCCTTGTTCCCTCTAGGCTCTTCCTGCTGCTTTTCCATCAGTGTCTCAGGCTACTATTGTTTCGCCTCACCTCCCTTTCCAGCGCTGGTGCATAGACTCACCAGTTGAGCCATGGCGCCCAAGCCATGGGCGCCCATGCCCTCCACGTAGGTCCACCATGTCCCTCTAATTCCAGAAGAGTTTCCTCTGCAGTTTTTTCCCTAACTCTTCCCTGAGACTACAGTATCTCCACTTTTATTAAACTATCTTTTGCTGGACTATCAGTGAATTCCCTCCCTATTCCGCCATCTTGGAGCCCTCCTTGCCTTTCTTTTATTAGGTGTTTTTAGAATATCAAAAAAAAAGCAAAAATAAATGTCTTATAACAAAGCTGTGATTCATTAAGCATTTCATATTGCTTTAAAATCTAATACTTCATTATAGTGTGTTTAGACAAAATACATAAATAATTAAAATTAGCAAAGTTACTCTATTGAAATGATAGTAAATCTTGGTTCTGTTACTGTAAGAATTTGGAAGCCCAATCTTCCATTATTTATATGTTGAATTAAACCTGTTATGGCTTCAAGAAACAGAAACCTTTCAACTGTACCAAAAGAGAAGGGGTCTTGCTAAGGCAAACTTCCAAACACACAAATAAAAAGTATTGTCAGTTCTTCTCCTAGCTACAGCTAGATGGATGAAAGAAACAGAATTAGTCATTGGTCTCCCAAGGGTCATGAAATGTCCTCACTCCATTTCTCAGAGTGTGCATGCTTTATTTTAGCTCTAGTTATCTTGTTATTGCCTGTCTGTTCTTTCTTTTTTTATTTATTTTTTATTTATTTGACAGAGTTAGATAGTGAAAGAGAGACACAGAGAGAAAGGTCTTCCTCCATTGGTTCACTCCCCAAATGGCTGCTATGGCTGGAACTACGCTGATCCGAAGCCAAGAGCCAGGTGCTTCCTCCTGGTCTCCGATGTGGGTGCAGGGGCCCAAGCACTTGGGCCATCCTCCACTGCCTTTCCACGCCACAGCAGAGAATTGGACTGGAAGAGGAACAACCAGCACTAGAACCTGGCACCCATATGGGATGCCGCACCCCAGGTGGAGGATTAACCAAGTGAGCCACAGCACCAGCCCTCCTGTCTATTCTTTCACTAGACCGACTTCCACTGCTTACAGCTGGTCCTACATGGTGAGCCCAAGTCACTCTCCTTGTATGGATCCAATACTTCCATTTGCCAGCTGCAGCTCTGACAGTCAAATGAGCTAGCATAGCTAGTCTTATTGGAGTGCACGCTTCTCAGTCTTCCGTTATAGGGAGGAGGCACATGGGCAGTTTCTATATCCATCTTTTATATTTTAACATAGCTTAAAATTTGGAAATATTAAATTTATTTCATTATAAAAATTCTAGAAATGGTAGCTCTACAAAATCTTCCTGGGAAATGCTGGAAAATCTAAAGATTCATTTGACTTATCCTTTGTGTCTGGTGTCTTTTAGTTCAAGAGAAAGTGAATTGGCCTGAGATATTCTAGCCAGGTAATGAACTCACTGGTCTTGGGGTAGATTGTGTATCTCTGATATACTGCATCGTACTGGAAAGAAGGATCATGTGGAACTTGACCTATTCTTTCAGTGGGGAATATGGTTGATATAGCTCCCAGAGAGGAACATGTGAGTGGTTAAGTCCTCCCAACTCATGCACCAAACATGTTAACTATGCAGGTGAAGCAATCGAGCTTCAAAAAGATGTTGGCTCAAATTTGAGGAAAGGGGTACTATTTAAATGCCATGAATTGAGAAGAAAGCATTCAGGGTATTAAATATTTTAAAAAGTATCTAACATGGAGTTCGTTAAGTACATTTTGTGGATAAGGGAAATGCTAATGGGTTTATAGCAGATCTGCTCTTGAGGTAGTGCCCAAAGTGGTGCTGCACCCAAAGTTAAAGTCTTTGAACGTTTCTGTTGGGATAGAATTCTTGGCTGAAAGCTGTAAATTGCACAAAATATCTACCAATAAGGAGGAGTGACTGTAATCTGTAAGAAACAATGGAGCTACTGGTCTGCTCCAGGTCTTAGCAGATTTTCTTGCAGACTTGGCTTTCCAGCTTGAAAGGGAGGACAAATAAGTTTGCATCTATCACTAAAAATATTCGCAAAACGTGGTTGGATAGATCTTTCTGGTTTTGCTTGCTTTCAAAGAAAAAACTTTTCCTTGGAGTCAAAAAGAAGTGAGGGCTAGGGAGGAGAAGGGTTTGTTTCAGATGGGGTACTAGGGAATATGGAGGAGAGAGGTGGCTGTGGGGGGCAATAAAATTTAGATTTCTTTATAATTTTACTTCTCAAGCTCATTCCCTATGACCTCTTCATAACTTATCTTAGACCCTGGGAGAGGAAAGGTGGGATGAGACACTCCCAGCATCGACAGAGATGGAGCGGAAGTTTTTGATGTCACTAAAGCTTGATCTATCAGAAAAAACTGTCCCTAATGTGAGGGAAGAGAATTCTTTGTGGAATTCTCTCTTCCCCCAGGCCAACACCCTCATGCGGTAGTTACATGATTTCTCTGCCAGGTGACCCGGATGGGATGGTGTGCAGCATGTTTGCGGTTTCCATTCATTTCTCCTGTTAGGGCTTACAGTCTTTATGCCACATGGATTTGTGGCGAGCCTGGGGATTTCTCCGCCTAGGCCTGCTGAGACAGCTCCTGGTATGCCTATTTTGACTTCTCTCTCAGTCCTATCTTCCCCACAGTTGTCGGTTTATTTTGCCTTCGGGCTGCACAGGGCCTCTCCCTTCCTGTTAGTGCTTTGTCACTGCTCAGTCAGCAAGTTATCAAGCCTCCGCTCTGTAGTCTTTTTCTCCTCTTCCCACCTCGCTCTCAAGAACGCTTCCAGGAGTATCCGTGAGTCGCCCATTAGTCCTCTGGAGGTGTCTGTTGTGTATTCTGTAAGACACAGGAAGAGTTGTTTTTTTGTAACTTTCCTGTAGGCTGTGAGGAACTTCAGAGGCCTCGCTGAAGGAGGAGAACCCGTTCGCAGGGCTCACATAGGCCAGAAGTTATTGGCTTCGTGAAAGCTGTGACTTTGTTTTGAGAACCTGTGTGAGTCTGTTATTGCTGTGTCCCCCAGAGGCTAATCACTCCGAGGGAGTTTGATCGTGGCCTGTCTGAGAGAACACTGCAGAGCCTTTGTCTCCTTGCTGCCTGCCCACCAACACTGTGTGCTTCTCCTGCCTGCGGCTGCCAGCCCTTCCCCAGTCACCCTCTCTGGGACAGAGCCAAGCAATCACACCACGATCTCACAGGGGTAGAAGCGGCAGGAGATTTGCAATTTTGAAGTAAATTCATCACACTGCCTCAAAACACAATATTATTATAGCTTGCCCTCAATTTGTTTTTGTCTCTGTTTTCATGAATGTTTCCCCATATATGATTTTGAAAACTTTTTTTCATTCCTCTATTATGAAATACAATACACATTTAGGAAAAGTACATAAAACATTGGTTTAAGGTAATGAAATAGTATAAAGCAATCAGCTATGTAACTGCCACTTTATTATTTGAAATGCTACTTTTCTTCCACCAGTAAAAAGTCCTTCAAAATCGGTCCCTTTTGACTTAGAAAGATAAGTATCAATGTATAAGTGAAAATATTGATTTGACTTTTAATGTCTTAATGATGCAATTGTTGTTTTATGTTCATGTATTTTGCTGAGCAACTAACCCTTTATTTGACTGTGGATAAACCACTTCATCATTATTTGAGACAGAATTTTTATTCCAGGCTACCTTCCTTCATGAAACTGCTATACTCCAGGACTCACCTCTACTACTGTGAGGCTTAACCCATGAAAAGCCACTGAATCTCTATATTATGGTAAGCAAAACACAATTCTTTGCTGGCGCTGCGGCTCACTAGGCTAATCCTCCACCTTGCGGCGCCGGCACACCTGGTTCTAGTCCCTGTCGGGGCGTCGGATTCTGTCCCAGTTGCCCCTCTTCCAGGCCAGCCCTCTGCTAAGGCCTGGGAGTGCAGTGGAGGATGGCCCAAGTGCTTGGGCCCTGCACCCGCATGGGAGACCAGGGGAAGCACCTGGCTACTGGCTTCAGATCAGTGTGGTGTGCTGGCCGCAGCACGCCAGCCATGGTGGCCATTGGAGGGTGAACCAATGGCAAAGGAAGACCTTTCTCTCTGTCTCTCTCTCACTGTCCACTCTGCCTGTCCAAAAATAAATAAATAAAAATAAAAAAACACAATTCTTTGTATTTACAAAGTAAAACAGCAGTAAAATGTCCAAGAATATCTAAATATCCCACATGAGTTACTTTTAGAGCATTCTAAGTTTAAGGTCATTCTTCTCATTCCCAGGAGTAACTCTACTACAGTGAAATTTTTCATTCCCATAAAGATGTGTTGATTCTGTGCTAAGCATTGTTCTAGATGCTTGATCCATGCAAGTGAAAACATAAGGATGCTTGCTCTTATGGAACTTACATTATAGGAGTGAAGAAAGAGACTATAATATTGAATGTAATACACAAATAAATTATACAATATAATAGATGGTGATGAGTACTACTGAAAAGAGAGAACACAGTTGAGTACCAGAATTGAAAATGCAGGGTAGGAGTAGGGGGGCAGATTGATGTGTTAAACAAGGTTGTCAGGATAGGAATTCATGAGGGGCCAGAGATGTGGCGCAGTGGGTTAACGCTCTGGTATGAGGCACCGGCATCCCATAGGGCGCTGGTTTGAGATGCGGCTGCTCCACTTCCTATCCTGCTCTCTGCTATGACCTGTGAGGGCGGTGGAGGATGGCCCAAGTCCTTGGGCCCCTGTACCCATGTGGGGGACCTGGAAGAAGCTCTTGGCTCCTGGCTTTGGATCGGCACAGCTCCGGCTGTTGCGGCAAACTGGAGAGTGAGCCATCGGGTGGAGGACAGACCTCTCTTTCTCTCTACCTCTCCTCTCTGTATAACTCTGACTTTCAAATAAATAAATAAATCTTTTTTAAAAAAAGAATTCATGAAAAGACAGAATATGATCAAAGGATTGAAAAAGGAGGGGGAGTCAAGCCACATAATGACTGTGGAAAGAATATTCCAGAACTAGTAGAAGGGACAGCTTGAGCAAAGGCTTTAAGGTATAGCATGTCATATGTATTTCAGAAAAAGTATCTAGAGCAGAGAGAACAAGCTATAGAGAAGTTGAAGAAAAGATCAGAAATATGAAGACCAGGTCATATAAGAACTCTGTAGTTCACCGTCAGGATTTTGGATTCTATGCTTGTAAAATTGTGAGCCCTTTTAGCTTTTAATCAAAGGAAGGTATAACTTATTTAACATCATCATCATCATTATTATTATTAATTATTTGTGAGGCAGAGAGACAAAGAGAGAGATGAAGAGATAAAGTGACCGACAGAAAGAGCTCCTCTCCTCTGGTTCACTCCCCAAATGGTTGCAACAATTGAGACTAGACTGAGGCTAGAGTTAGGAGTTAGGAACTCAGTTCAGGCCTCCCAAATGAGAGGCAGGAAGCCCATTTCTTGAGTCAGGATCACTTCCTCCCAGAGTTTGCACTGGCAGGAAGTTAAAGTCAAGAGCCAGAGCCAGGAACTGAACCAACTCACTCTGATGTGGGATGCAGGGGTCATAACTGCTCGTCTAAATGCCTGCTCCCTTTATTAAGCTATGGGTTCTCAGCTCCAGATTTATTCTTTTTTTAAAGACTTATTTATTCATTTGAAAGTTGGAGTTACATAGAGAGAGGAGAGGTAAAGAGAGAGAGAGAGAGAGAGAGAGAGAGAGAGGTTTTCCATCCGCTGGTTCACTCCCAAATTGGCCACAACAGCTGGAACTGTGCTGATCTGAAGCCAGGAGCTTCTTCTGGATCTCTCACGTGGGTGCAGGGGACCAAGGGCTTGGGCCATATGCTACTGCTTTCCCAGGTGACAGCAGAGAGCTGGATTGGAAGTGAGGCAGCCAGGACTCGAACTGGCACCCATATGGGATGCCAGCACTGCAAGTGGCAGCTTTACCCACTACACCACAGCGTCAGCCCCCAGATTTATTTTTTATACTAGACTTTAGGAATGGGAATCTGCAAACTTTATTTTGTAAGTGGATCCTTATCAGGCTTTGCCAACAGGGGGTTTTAGAGAAGGCAAGAATGAAGGAGAAAGAAGGGAATTTTTTTCTCTAGTCGGCACCTTGTGGGTTTCCTTTCCGCTTTTTTGCTCCCAGCAATGTTTCTTCAACCCAGAGGTAGTTACTTCTTGTGGCAGGGATGTTCAGTGTTTGGAGGAGTCCAGAACTAGCCTCAACACCCTCTCAGAAACATCAGCATCTGCCACTCCACGCTTCTCCTTAGAGACTGAGCAGTGATGTCCTAATATTTCTGGCTTCTTGCCTCTATCCCCTCAGCCATTGAAGCTACTTCTTCTTATATTTTTTTAATGTTTATATCTTTATTTGTACCTACTTGAAAAGCACAGTGACAGAGAGATAGAGAGACACAGAGTATGAGACAGGGAGAGAGATCTTCCACAATAGCCAGGGCTGGGCCAGGCCAAAGCCACGAACCCAGACCTGTATCTGAGTTTTCTCTATGTTTGGCATGTGGCCAAACACCTGAGCCATCTTCTGCTGGCTTCCAGGACTCTTTAGCAGTAAGCTACATAAAAAACAGAGAAGTCGGGACCGGTGCTAAAGTACAGAGGGTAAAGCCGCTGCTTGTGGCACCAGTTTCCCCAGTGGGCACCAGTTTGAGTCCTGGCTAGTCTACTTCCAATCCAGCTCCCTGCTGATGTGCCTGGGAAAGCACTGGAAGATGGGCCAAGTCCTGGGGCCCCTGTATCCAATGGGAGTCCTGGAAGAAGCTCCTGGCTCCTGGTTTTGAACTGGCACAGCTCCAGCCTTTGTGGACATTTGGGGAGTGAAGTTATGGATGGAAGATTCTCTCTCTCCTTCTCTCTCTCCCTCTCCCTCTCCCTCTCCCTTTTTCCTTGTAACTCTACCTTTCAATAGATAAATGAATCTATATATATACATATATGTATATATATACATATGTATATATGTTTATATATAAGAAAGAGAAAAGCCAGGACTTGAATTGGCACTCAGATATGGGATGTGGGCATCTCAAGTGGTGGCTTAACCTACTCTGCTCCAACATCTACCCTTGTTTCCCTCTGTTTCTACTTCCATTATATTTATTTTCACCTGTGCAGGTTCTCAGGCAATAAGTTTATTCTAGTTACCAATAATTTGCATTATAGTCTCTCTGTTAACACACAAATGTGATTCCTCTGTTCTGAATGGGCCCTGATTAATATAAACAATCACTGTGCCTGTTGTGTTTAGAATACACTATGTGGAAGCAAAGTAAAAATAGAGAAAGATACTGGAAGACTCATGTGTAATCCAAGTGAGAAATGCTCAGATTAGGAAGATAGCAATGGAAGATCTTGGCAGCTAAATTTTGGATATATGAGAATTATGAAGAGAGAAGCAGATTGATTTTCCTAAAATTGAAATTCGAATGGTGAAAAAGAGAGACTCAAAGGTAGTTCCATGTGTTTTGTCTGTTTGTTTTTAGCTTGGGTAAGTAAAATTCACTTACCATCAACCAAGATGGGTAAAATTACAGGCAGAGTAAATTTGTGGAAAATAATGAAAAGTTCAGTTTTAGTCATATTACTTGGACATTAACAGAGTTGTCAAATAGGCAGTTGGATATAACCACAGAGCTCATTTTTGTCCTTTTCTCTATGGCCCTAGGCCATAATCACACCTTTTGCAACACTAGAAATATTTATTGAATGATTTATGCTTTTAAATTATTTTCAAGAATTTAAATCATTCAGTTAGAAACACAGATGTTGAAATGAGACAGAACTCGGTTTGAATGCTGGCTTCTTGGGTGATCTGCCATACTGAGTAAGATGTACAACCTAAGTCTCAATTTCATCAACTATAAAAATTAGGATAATAAGAGCAAACTTGCACAGTAATTAAAAAGTAGAAGTTAAAGCACATACAGTGGTGAATACAAGGTAAAATTTGAGGATAAAATGTCCTCCTCAGTTTCCTTATTTATAAAATTGTTAGTGACATCTATTTCCTAGGCTCCTTTTGAGTATGTCAGAATAGTATGTGCAAATCACCCAACACAGGGCCTCCTATATAATGGGTGCTCAATAAATCTGAGTTTCTCTCTTTACATGCTACTTCACTGAAAGTGGATACTCACAACATCTCTTTCATGTATGAATTTTACAGCATTTTTCAGGCTGATAAACAAAGATGACATTAATAAGTGTTAATAACAACAAAATAAAATTTTGTACCCAAGAGCTGGTAGCTGACTGCATGCCACAAATGGGCTGTAATTGTAGATATCTTTGCCTTCATGGCTCTTCCTTCTTATCCATTATGTCTCATTTCTGATTGTACCAGACTCTTTGGGGATCAGATGAGAAGTCCCAGAGAATGACAATACATTTCTAAGAGACTACTCTACTTTCTTAAATTAGGTCAGAGTATTGTTGAGCTGCTGTGTCCCGATGTCATCAGATAGCTGTGTGCAGGCGCTTATCTCCCATGCAAAAAGAATTTGAGGAAAAGATGTAGATAAAGGTTAACAGATGAATTAGATTTATTTGCATGGAAGTACATACTCAAGAGAGAATGAGGGCATGCACAAGGGTTAGCTGCACTCAGTAAGGTTTTTGGTCATCCATTGATATAATCTAGAGGCACAGGGTGTAGTATCTAGAGCAGTGTTTACTTCAATATTTGTAGAAGGTAGAGTTTGGGGTAGATTTTAATACTATCCATTTCCTTGCCCTTTTTTGGAAATCTTGGAAGTGTCATGGTGTCGGGGGCATATGGGTATAGGAGTATCAGCTATAGTCATTTTAGTAAATTATAGTATAACTAGCTAAAGATCATCTTGGGTATACAGTTGTCAGCCATGTTGGTTATTTTTGGCTTGTGCTGGTTTTGAGCAGTGATTTTGCAGAAGTTACAGCTTTCTGCTGCATGGAAAGGGGAGGGGTTTAGGGTAGAGAAAGTGGGGCTGCAGGGAGGGGATAATCAAGAGGAACAAATTTATTGAGAGTTTGTGATTAGGTACAACTAACTACCACCTCTTTACCAGACTCTGAATACCTAATGCCCAGCTATGGTGTTTCTGCAGGTAAACATGTTTCTGCAGGAATATGGCATTTTGATTATGGAAATCCAAGCTCTACTTCTTGTTAGCTGTGATTTTTGAACAAGCTACTCAACCTCTCAGAGCCTGCTTTTCACGTTTTAAATCAGAATACTAATAGAGCTGAGTGAGAATGAAAGGAATTGACACCTGTAAAACAATCTAGAGGCCAAACTAGAAGCTTGATGTTAGCAGTTAATATTAAAAAATCTACAGTTTATTTGGAAGAAAAATCATTTCGACAGTTAGTGCTAAGCTGAGTGTTACTGCTAAAATGTGAAATAAGAGTTGGAAAAATAATGGCCTGGGTCACAGAATTCAAGAGTGATATTAAGGAAGGAAATAATGAATATCAGCCTTAGATAATAGAGAGGAAATTTGGTTACTTCTGTTTTTATTTTGTTATTGTTATTTTTGGAATGAGGACAAGGAGACCCAGAGATGACAGTAGTATAAGAAGAAGAAATATTCAGCAAGAGATGCCAAATTTTTCTGGAGATCTACCTTATTATCTTATGATACAAAAACTAGTTTTATCTGTTATTGGGTGGGTGAGTTGTTATCTTCCTACTACATCACTTTAATGACAAATCTTTTGTCCATTAATCCCATGTTAAATTTTTTAGTTTTGCAAAGAAGGTGGGAGTGAGTCCCTTTTCTTTGGCCACTTATATCACTACCTTTATTATGTAATATAGATGTTGAAATAATCTCATTTGGATAAGTTCATATTTTCTTTGAGCTATTGGTTTCCAAAACCATGACTACAGTCACAACTGGAGATAATTTTAGTGGATCCCATATAATGCAAAAGAAGGCATCAGATGTTTACTATTCAAAAGATTACTTATTTCTTTTTAAAAACACAGATGACTACAAACTTGGTTGAGATATTTCCCAGTACAAATCATCAATGAGGTAAATAAAAGTCTTTCATTGCAGAGGAACATTGCTTATCACTCAAACTTTGAGAAATGAGGGGAAACGTTCCAGTTCTACAGATTTTAGTTCTCCTGTAATTCACTGTGCTTTTAAAATGAGCAGCTTGGCAACATAAAAGTTTAGACTCACATTTCTATCAATCATCAGTTTGTCCCTTATGTTGACAGCTTCTGTACAAAATTGGAGGATTTCAAAGTGTTCCAGCAACAAAATATAAGAAATTGCAAGAACACATAAATTTCAAGTGTTTTCTACCTACGTCAGCAACATCTTAGCAAAATACAGGCAGGATATCCAAGTGCCAAGATGGAAAATAAAATGAAAAGGTAAACAGCAAAACAGAATTCAAAATAAGGGGTGTCCTTGGGTAACCATACTAATTACTGAGAGATGCCATTTTGGTTCCCTAAGCTGCTTGTTAGTAACGTAAGTGAAGACAAGTTAAGCTGGAAATATAAAGAAGTGCCAAGTTCAAAACCAAGGAAAAGACAAAAAAGTACTATTTTGAACAAATGCTCTATCTTTCGCTGGTCCGCTATTGGGTAGTTACAGTGATATGGGCCCAACAATTTGTGAAGCGTTATGAATAAGATCAAGATGAATGAGATTTGGTACCTGCCCTCAAGGGACTTATCATTTGTTAATAGTTTTGCTATCAGAAGCAGTAAACTACATTTTAAAAGTACTAAATCCAAATGTCAGTATAGAGTAGGTAATAGAAAGCCACCATAAAGTTCATATACAATGGTTTACACAGCAGGACCACCAGTCTAATCATCTCCAGGATCTAAAAAGAAATATCCATGGGACCATTTTCCTCCCAAATTTTCTCTAACTTGCCTCCTGGAGTATCTGTTAAGCACTTTGTGACCCTTAGAAGGAGCAAGTCAACTTTTTCATGAATAGCCTATTCATACACTCATTCTGGACTTTTATATGAACTTTTACCATCTCTAATTATTTTTTACAAGTGATACGAAGTGGGGGGGGAGGTGAAAAAGTAAAAGAACTTTTAAAATCTACTTCTTAAAACATCATGTAGTTTCACTTTTCTCTTTCATTTAGTCTGAATGCCTTGGCTATTGCCTGTATATTGTACTTGTAACCATCAGTTAAATTGATGAATAGCAGAAATAGTAAACTTAATAGATTGTGCCTGATATTTTGCTCTTGAGCTAATGTTCTTCTAAATTAGTTAGGTTTAAATGACTATGTCTTTCTTTACAACTGCTTCGAATTCTAAAACCCCTGCACATAGATTAAGAATGTTTGAAGGAAATGGAGCTAGAGGAAAGAGCTGATTGTTAGAGTAATATCTTAATGCATTGTGATTGCTTTATTGCTTGGAATTGATTTTTTTCCCTTGTTCATTTTCACAGGTGCTCCCATCGTGACAATAATTTAGAAAACTGCAAAATACCTCCTGCTCACAGCTTTCCATATTCATTTTCCATACATTTTAACAGAAATCTAAATTTTGCTAATTGTGAAATGTTTTACACCCTATAAAAACTTTTTTGAGTGCTAGTAATAATCCCTTTGCCTTACCTGCATTCTTCAAATCTATTGGATTTAAGTGACTACAGTTATATTTATACTTAAAATCTGTAAATACACATATGACAGTCCTTCAAAAAACTTGAGGAAATGGAATTAAATGATAACTCTATTTTGGTGCAAAGTGTTGAAATCCATGCAAAATATTTTCATAATAAGAATATGAGTAGTTTAAAAAATTTGTCTTCTAACAGATCCCAATAGTGATGATGGACATGCAAAGGCTCACATTGGGCCTCAGTGTGCAGGCACGAGGGCACCTGATACATAGCTGATCATTTCCTGGCATTATCCTCAGGTAAAAATGACCTAGCAAGAGTAGGAAGGTGGAACTGTAAGGTTGGTGGGTAAAATGAACAATAATGTTTCCACAATCATTGTTCTCATTTTGAATCCATGCTTTTCTTCTGACTTTCTGAAACACACCAGGGCTTTATTCATCTGCTGGCTCTGTTTGTGGTTTACAGAGGTGTCATTGTTCTTAGCCACATCCTGTTTTCCCTTAGATGGCCTTTAAGGTTCAGTGGGAGTGACCAGAGGGTCAACTTTGTTGTCTTTAATAGTGGAGGAAAACACTGGGTAGTTCAGGAAAACTGGAATGCAACCATAAAGTGCTCCTTTTAACTTCAGTTTTGAAAATGAACTTTAATTTCCAGTAATCGAGATTGCTGTACAAACTCAGATCATTACCTGGTAGATGATATTTCTCACATCTAGAAGAGGCACAATTATTTGTGGCTGGTATTAGTCTGTTGTCTTTAAATATAGATCAGTTTTCACTTGTTTGCGTCCTTCTAAAAGGTCATCTGCTTATAAAGTATTTTGGGGAAAGGAGAGTTTACATTGTTCCTGCTATACTGTTAGACTTTCTTCTGTGGCTCCTGTGTCAGTGAAGGGGTCCTGGGACAGCCATCAATGTGATGTGGAGAATACCTGCTAGTAGAAGGAACTCAAAAAAAAGTGTGTGAGCACAGAGTGAATCTCTTCCCTCTGATGGCTTCATCCCCTGCCCTGTAAAATCTGTGTTAGATGTTACAACATAAGTGATGGTATTTAAAACTGTATACATGTAAGATTATTCTCATAGTTCAAGAACAAGAACCCACACACTAAAGCCTTTGCAGTTGGTTGGAAACAAGGACCCACCCACTAAAGTCTTTGCAGTTGGTTGGATTTTCTGGGTATATCACAATCTTGCTGTGCTTCCCTTCAGTCTATGACTTCTTATCTCCCTTAAGGAAACATCCAACCCAATACAGAGCCTTGGTCCCTTGTTCTAGTTCCACCTGTCTCGCCATTCCCATAGCACATTTCCCAAAATCTGAGATGAGTATCCATTGGGTTTTCCTCTCCAATGTCAAAAAGAACTGCTTGAAATGGCCATCGGTCCCCCAAGACTGGCCCACTTGGATATTACTCCATTAGTGAATGCTATAGTTTTGTCCTTTTAAAAAAAAGATTTATTTATTCATTTAGTGAATTACTTATTTGAAAGTCAGAGTTATACAGAGAGAGAAGGAGAGGTAGAGAGAGAGGTCTTCCATCCAGTGGTTCACTCCCCAATTGGCCACACTGGCCAGAGCTGCACCATTCCAAGCTGTACCAATCTGAAGCCAAGAGCCAGGAGCTTCTTCTAGGTCTTTCACTTGGATGCAGGGACCCAAGTACCTGGGCCATCTTCTACTGCTTTCCCAGGCCATAGCAGAGGGCTGGATTGGAAGTTGAGTAGCACCAGCACCCATATATAATGCCGACACTGTAGGCGGCAGCTTTACTCTCTATGCCACAGTGCCAGCCCCTTGGAGTTGTCCTTTATTAAGTGTCCAACAAGCACCTTTGGGTCAAATTTATATTTCTTCAAAGTTAAGTTCAGCACAAATTTTCAATCTAAAATTTTAAAGCAAAATATATACATTTACTCTATATTAAGCAAGTTACTACATTACTATAACAATGAATTCCTTTCTTTTTATGCCTTCCAGCTATTCAAGTCTTCTCTGAACACACACACGCATGCATACACACACAAGCTGAAACCACTTAATAGATCCTCCTTTAGCTACACAATGACTCAGCTGAAATTTTTGCAATCACTTCCCAATTGCCTGACGGGGGTGGAGCGGTAGGGTTTTATGTTTTCCTCTTCCTGTTATAGTTGCAAGGAAAGCTGCCTGTGAGTCAGTCTACAACAGGTTAATGTTCACCGCACATGAACAGTTGATCCAGCTTGAAATAAGAAGAACTCAGTGAAAACTCCAGCTCAACCACTACATGACATTTGATTTCGCAGAGTTTCCGTAAGTCCTTAGTGACTCAATTTCTGTTCGTATACATTGCAACTACTTATAATTCTTGTCCCATGGTTATATTAAGGTTAAGTGACAATTTAAGTGAGAACAGTTAGCAAAACTCCCAAGACATGATAAGCAGTGGATAAATGTTTCATGGTAGATTCTCATCTGATTTGGCTATCTAATAACAGAAAGCCACCGCCTGCCTCATGAATAACAAAGCTAGTGATGACTTGCAGTATTGATGATATTTTCATTTTCTCCACAATTTGGCAATACCATGTTGCATCTGAGCTTTTACTCATACAAACAATTTTTCCTGTAAAATTTCACTAACAACACTAATTGATGGGCTATTAATCAATACGAGTTCATAGGCAAATAACAGGCTGTAGTAATTTCACTTGATTTTTTTATGTGGGGACAATTCTGGAAATGCATCAGTTTTTCTCAATTGCTATTTATAATAATGTAAATAATCCCATTTTTGAGTCAATAAATAACTATGGCTATGTGGTTGGAAGATTAAGTTATTAATATATATTATCTAATTTAATCCCAACTTCACTTTTATGATGTTAGCACTGACAGTACTTTACAGAATTTGGAATCTGATGCTCAGAGAAATTATATAGCTTGCCTAAGCTTTTGCAGCCAAAAGCTAGAAGGGCTCTGCTTGAAACCAGTTCTGATGCCAATAGTTGAGCACTCAAGTACAGTCTGCATATCTGATGCTACCTTGATCATTTCCTCTGACAATGTTATCTTCATATCACAAGTGATTCTGTATTGCTCTCCTCATCCCACAGGTGGTTCCTTGATCAACCATCACCATGCATCCCCAGAAGGTAATCAACTTCCCTTCTCTGTCTTCCTGAGGAAGGATCCATTGGCTGCAGACTCCAACTCTTGGTACCTAAATATACATGATCATTACCACACAAGACCATGTGGGTTAGAATACTGACTTTAATGAAATTTAAGTGGATATTCAAGTGGGTTCTCCAAATCAGAGATATTGTGAAACAACAACATCAACAACAAGCAGAAGAAAACTGAGGATGACTCCATAATATATAAAGATTAAGCTTAAGTAAAATTTTAGTAAGTCAGGCTGACAGCATAAATACTTCCCAACATGAGTTGGTAAAATTGCTAGCTAAACACAGTGCACATAGCTCTGTCTCTTCTTGGTGCCATTAAAGCAAATACATATTTCCCTCTGGCAGCTGTGTCCTTCTTCATGATCCGTTGGTCTTGTTCTATGACTCCACTCTGATCTAGAGTTATGTTGATTCTATCACGGCTTTGACAGCAAATGAGGCAAATCTTCTGCCTTTGTAGAAGTGACTACTTAAAGTTCAGCCTTTAAATATAGTTGCTTCACCAACATTTTTCACATCTTTGTTTTTTACTTGCCTTTGCAGACACATGCAGGCTCACTTTCTTCCAATGTCTGGTATAGTTGCTTGGGACCTGAAAACTGTTTCTTGTTTTCAGATCTTACAGGCTTAGCTCTGGGAACCATCATAAAAACCATTCAGACTTTTGCCTGAAAGGGACAGTTTCCTCCATTGTTCATAAATCTTTTACTCCCTTCTGTTTCCTGTATTACAGTATCAGAAATCTCGTCTGTTTACAGAAGCCTGGGACATGTTGGTTACTTCCCTTTCATTGTGTCCCCACTGAGTGGCCTTTTTATCACATAAAGATCCCTAAGCTCATTTGTGCTGCAGTTCCTTAAGCTGAAATATAATTTAATGTTAAGAGACAAAACCAAAACTGAACATTTATCCGACAGAGACTATGATGGGCCTTTATAAACATGTAGACAAACTAATGAAAATAGTAAGAGCTGACTACATGAAAATTAGAGTTTTGTATAACAGCAGTAGCAACAAAATAATCATAAGCAAAATAATTCAACAAATGAACAACTGGGAAAATAGTTACCACATTGAGTATGAATTCTAACAAATTAATGAGAAAAGTACAATTGTGCTGTGAGAAAATAGTCAAAGAACATGAAGAGACAATGAACCAAAAGAGAAACTTGAATAAATCCTAAGTGTAGGAAAAGATGTTTAATTGTATTATCAATTTTAGTATATAATAGAAATGAAAATATCTCACCTGGTAAAAGAGGTATACATAACCTTATTTAATCAAGTAAATTTGTGAGGGCAGAGAGAGATATGGGTGCTCACCCTACTGGTGAGAATGATATTGAGAGAACTTTTTTGAATGCTATTTTGGAAATATGTTTCCAAATCTCTAAATATATTCTTGCCACCCAGACTAGTAATTTGACTTCTAAAACACAATCTTAAGAAAATAATTTACACTGGGATTCATACAAAGATTCATGTAGAAAAATGTAAATTGTAGATGTGATTATACTAGCAAAAATTTGAAAATATGTGTTTAGATGAAAATAAAAGAGCTGTGAATGAAGTTATGTATGTACATACGTAAGAAGGAATAATCTAGAGCAATTTAACAACCATGCTTTAGAACAATATTTAATGATATAGGATAATGCTTACTTTGACTTGCTAAATGAGAAAAGATGTTACAGAACAGTATATGCAATATGATGCTAATTAGAGGAAATTATAATATATGTATGAATATGCACAGAAAAGAAACATAAAAAAGAAATACTTCAAAATATTAATATAAGTTAATATTTAATAGATATTAGTATTAAAAAGTTTATTATTATTATTCTTTGAAAAGCAGAGAAAGAGGAATCTTCTATCTGCTGGTTCTCTCCCCAAATGCTGACAATAGAAAAGGGCTGGATCAGACCTAAGCCAGGAGCCAGGAACTCCATCTGGGTGGTCCATGTGGGCGACAGGGACCCAAGTACTTGAACCATCATCTGTTGCCTCCCAGGATGGGTGTTAGCAAGTAGCTGGATTAGAAGTAGAGATGAGATTCATACCAGACACTCAGATATGGGAAGTGGGTGTCCCAAGTGGCAGCTAGACCCACTGCTCCACAATGCCAGCCATTTTTTTGGTTTGTTTACATATTTTCCCCTCATTGACCATGTATCATTTGAAAGAAGATCAATACACTGTAAGAAGAAAATTTTAAAGACCATTTGTCCCACCCAAATGACTAAGATGTGATGTATTTTCAACAGAGTATTTTCCTTACTTGTCCAGTTATTTTCATTCACAGTTTTAGTCATAATTTTCTTTTTCTTTTTATTCCAGAATGTATTCATTAAATTTAATTTCTCACTCAGAACTCAGAGAAAAGATTAAAGGCAATTGTTACCTTTCCTTTTCACACAGGCAGTAGAATCTATTTTTAAAGGTTCTGTTTTAAATCTCTGTTGTTAGAAACATTTATTTAACCTCTAACTCTGCTCTACTGAGACGTTTTGTTTACATCAGGTTGGACCTTGGCCTTCCCACCCTCACACTCAGGGGAAATGTGTTGTTGTTGTTGTTGTTACTGTTAAAAAAGATTTGATTGAAATGGTTTGGGCTGATTCTTTTAGATTTGAAAATAGCCAAAAGCAATTCTACTTCGGATTATTTGGGAGACTATTTTCCCCTCCTCTGACTTAAAAAGATTTCATATAAAAGAGAAATTATACAGAATAAAGAATATGTCAAGACTTTTTTTTTTTAATTTCCAAGTCTGAGAGGTAAAAATAATTCTTCCCATTGCTGCAGCTTCATAGGTCTGCCTGGTTCCCTTACAGGCACCGAGACATGCAGAGTGTAACTGCAGATAAGCTCTTCGCCATCCTCCAGATAATTTGATAGGACCAGGCTTGGTGTCCAGTGTTAGGCAACTAGTGCCTGGCAGCCTTCCACAAAGACACTGCTAATTACTTCTAAAGGAACTTGGAGTTGAAGCAAAGACCTTTACTCCACTTTCTAGAGAATGCCAGCAACAGGTTCAGATGTTTGCTGCTTGGTCTATGGAGAGTGAGAATATTGCAGTTACAGGAAGAACATTTAGGGGTTAAGCAAGGAAACTGTATTAAAGGAGAGTGAATTCAAATAATCTCCACTCACCACCACAGCTCTTTCAGCCCCCACACTGAATAAATATTCTGGAAGTTTTTGCTACATCTGCAAATCTCCCATTCATCACAGAGCATTCCCCGTGATACATGGGAACTGCAGAGGCCATAATAACAGCTTCATGACCCTTACCCCTACTCACTATTATGGAATCCCCTGACCAATTATTATTATTATTAAGACTGTTTCATGTATATTCAGCTTCACAGGTCTCTGTCATATTTTTTCCTCTCTAACTCTGGCTCCTGTGGCAACCTTTGACTTTGATGACCTTGAAGCTGGAACTGGGGATGAGTGCACATGTCAGCTCAGTAATCGCTGTTGATCATGAAGAGACCGCTGATACCTCTACCAAGGCTGCCATCTCTGCAGATCTGAGCAATTGATTACCACCTTAAATGTGTAAGCTTTGGACTTAAACAACTTAGGCTCCTCAGTTTACTGGCTAAGTGACCTTGGATAAATATTTACTTTCTTTGGCAGAGATTGCTAGCTGCCTCCCAATTTCAAGAGGATTCTTCTCTAGCAGAATTCAGAGTAATCTTCCCTGCAAAACAGTGACATTTGCCAAGCTCCTGGGCAGCTGCAAGTGGGCATCTGACAATGTTGCACACATCTATGTCTCTCTCTGTTTTATTTGTCACAAATGCATGTGTGTGTATGTGTGTGTATACAAGTCTGTGTGTGCATGCCATCTCTCTTATTTTCTTCCACAGCCTGGATTATTGACTGGCTTCCTGGTCTGTACCTCAGAAAAAGGAAAACAAGAGGAAGGAAAGTGGAAAGAGAAGGGACAGCAACACTGATACATTTTTTTTAATTTATTTTTTGAGAGGCGGAGAAAAAGCAGGTTCACTCCCTGCCTCGTAACAGATTAGGGTGAGCTAGGATGCAGGAACTCAATCTGGGTTTCCCATGTGGGTGGCAGAAATCCAACCACTTGAGCCATCACTTGATCCCTTCCTGTATTTGCAGGAAGCTAGAGTCAGGAGACTGAACTTGGAATTGAATTTAGGCATACTGATGTGGGATGTGTGTATCCTACAATATCTTAACTTGTACAGCAAAATTGATCCCTATAATGACACTTTTTTTTAACTTGTATTTAGCAAATATAAATTTCCAAAGTACAGCTTATGAATTACAATGGCTCCTCCCCCATAACTTCCCTCCCACCCACACCCCTCCCATCTCCCGCTCCCTCTCCCATTCCATTCACATCAAGATTCATTTTCAATTCTCTTTATATACAGAAGATCAATTTAGTATATATTAAGTAAAGATTTCATCAGTTTGCACCCACACAGAACATAAAGTGTAAAATACTGTTTGAGTACTAGTTATAGCATTAATTCACATTGGACAACACATTAAGGACAGAGATCCTACATGAGGAGTAAGTGCACAGTGACTCCTATTGTTGACTTAACCAATTGACACTCTTGTTTATGGTGTCAGTAATCTCCTTAGGCTCCAGTCATGAGTTGCCAAGGCTATGGAAGTCTTTTGAGTTCGACGACTCTGATCTTATTTAGACAAGGTCATAGTCAAAGTGGAAGTTCTCTCCTCCCTTCAGAGACAGGCTCCTCCTTCTTTGATGGCCCATTCTTTCTTTTTTTTTTAACTTTTATTTAATGAATATAAATTTCCAAAGTACAGCTTATGGATTACAATGGCTTCCCCCCCATACCGTCCCTCCCACCTGCAACCCTCCCCTTTCCCACTCCCTCTCCCCTTCCATTCACATCAAGATTCATTTTCGATTCTCTTTATATACAGAAGATCAGTTTAGCATACATTAAGTAAAGATTTCAACAGTTTGCTCCCACACAGAAACATAAAGTGAAAAATAATAGATGATTTTTTAAATGATGATGAAATCAGATCAGACCTATTGTCATGTTTAATCCCAGTGAGAGTCAAGTTGGGAATTGATAATTTTTTTTTCCTTTTTTTTTTTTACAGAAGATCAGTTTAGTATACATTAAGTAAAGATTTCAACAGTTTGCACCCCATAGAAACACAAAGTGAAATATACTGTTTGAGTACTCATTATAGCATTAAATCTCAATGTACAGCACATTAAGGACAGAGATCCTATATGAGGAGTAAGTGCACAGTGACTCCTGTTGTTGACTTTACAAATTGACACTCCTGTTTATGGCATCAGTAATCTCCCTATGCTCCAGTCATGAGTTGCCAAGGCTATGGAAGCCTTTTGAGTTCTCCAACTCTTATCTTGTTTAGACAAGGTCATAGTCAAAGTGGAGGTTCTCTCCTCCCTTCAGAGAAAGGTACCTCCTTCTTTGAAGACCTGTTCTTTCCACTGGGATCTCACTCATAGAGATCTTTCATTTAGGTCTTTTTTTTTTTTTTTTTCTGCCAGAGTGTCTTGGCTTTCCATGCCTGAAATACTCTCATGGGCTTTTTAGCCAAATCCGAATGCCTTAAGGGCTGATTCTGAGGCCAGAGTGCTGTTTAGGACATCTGCCATTCTATGAATATAGTGACACTTTTTAATCTCTGTTTTACTCATTCCTTTTGTTCACAGTATTTATTATACCCCACACTCGCCCTGAAGGATTGCCATCCAAATCATACCACCATTCATTAATACAAATTTTCTTAAACACTTTGTAAACTTATGATCATTTGTAATAATAATAATTTTTTTTGACAGGCAGAGTGGACAGTGAGAGAGAGAGACGGAGAGAAAGGTCTTCCTTTGCCGTTGGCTCACCCTCCAATGGCCACCACAGCCGGCGCACCGCGCTGATCCGATGGCAGGAGCCAGTTTTTTGAAAAGCTTAAACCCTATATGCTCCTATCCCTTTACCCTATAATCTCCCAAACCTCTTGAATTTTAAATTTAAGATCAAATAATTATAAATAATAGACCAAAGTTTCATTTTATATTAAAATATATAAAATACAATGTGGTGCTAAAAAAACTTGACCTTGTTTGCAAAACTTTTCATCTGCCAGTGAAAGTTAAACGTGTGTAGATAATATAGGATTTTCTCTTAATCACACTTTAGGCAGTCATGAGATGTGCGTATGTGTGTGTGTTAAAGAGGAAGGGGAGAGAGAGAAAGAGAGAGATTCCTTACATTTTCTTCTACTTGGATCTTCCATTCACAGAAAGTTTTGAAAATATCATTACTGAAAAACCATATTGTTGAGAAAATGCTGCACATTGTGCTTTTCAAACAAGAATAGGCTGACCCTTTACCTTTCATTTGTCCAGTTCTAATCCAAAAATTTTACCCCACAGCACATTTTAAATCTGTAGAAAATACTGACCGACATTTCTGGTCCTAGAACTTAGCAACATTTCCTAGCCGCTCTTGCCATTAACAAAGTCAAAGGTATGTGCTTGGCAAGTGATTTGTATCAACCACCTCCAAGCAGTTCTCCTTGCTCCCTGTCTTCCCTCATATACGGGCCACATGCAGAGTATCCAGTTGAGGACTCCAATGCCTAATGGCAGAGCCACTATAGTTAAAGAACAGTGGCCTCTGCTTGGAGTAGACTTCCCTCCTCCCCTTAGTCCCACCCCTGCCAATCTGCACAGGACTGGGATGTATGTCAGCAATAGGCCTTGATTAATGAGTTTCAGCATTGCTAGTTATAATGCTTAGACTGTTCTCATTAACAAAAACTCCAAAGCAAAATTCTACACGGGTTCTTACTAGGAACGCATCACAAACAATGCTCTCTACTGGGCATTAAGTGCCAGGGCATAGTAAAGTTCAAATGGCTAAGCAAGATATTTTATATTAATTCATCATGGAGCTTTCCTGCAATTTTAGTTAGCCACACTGCAATACTTTTTAAGGTTCTCAATTTTTGCAACCACCATATTAAACAAGGCACTCAAGTTTGCCCTTTTTCAATGGCTCATCTGGAATTTGTGAGGTACACTGGTAGGGAAAACAGTGACTGTCCATTATGGGATCCAGTGTACTGATTGTTGGAGCTGTTTCAGGTGTGGGCAACTCATACACCTGTTTGAGTTACAGAAGGACTGGTATCCTTTGCAGTGTGTCTGGTTTACTAGCGTGAAAGATGAAACAACAGAGGACTGAACTCAGTGTCACCCGGGCATTTCTTTTCTGCACACAGGCCTTCTAGTCATGAAAGGTGGGCTTATTTGCATTTGCATGACTGTTCAAGAAATGAGGAAAATGACAAGACACCACTTCTCTGGATGCATGAGCCTTTTGTGCTACAGTGCTCAGTTGGGATGCTCCTCGTTGCTTTTTAATCCCTAGTCCCTTTACCTCTTGGAGAAGGCCCTGGGGCACTCTCTACAGAGGGCTCTTGACACTGGAAATTCCTCCTTTTGGTTGATCAAAGCTGGTGCAGTCTGACCCCACCCCAGGAAATGGTGGCAGACACATCTGTTCAGTCTGGCTTCCTGCCAACAGAGGATTTATTCTGGGGTAAGTGGGGGAGAAGGACTTTTATGTCAGGAGGGGATTTATTGTTGGCTGATGGGGTGTGGCGAGTGTGAAGGGTGGGAACCACTTCAGTCCCTTGGCTGGATTGTCTGACTTTTTGTGAGGCAGAGTTTAATCTTTGTATATGAGTTCTGAGACTTGTGATGGGCAAGGGCTGAATCAGTGAACTTCAACGATAATGGAAACACTTTTTGGAAGTGAAGTACAGACTTGCAAAAAGTTAGATGATGAAAGTGAAGGTTTGCTGTCTACATGCGGTAAGAGGATGATTCGAATCAAACAACTGAGGACAACACTCTCACAGTCCTCTGCAGTTAGCCAGCATTGCTCCTCAGACTAATGGGAAGGAGACTAGAGGCTGAGCTGCTTGGTTTTCTGAAACTCTGGCCTTCACTAGGCAGAAGTCCTTGGATGTTAGGTCTTTTTGTATCTCAGTGTCTCTGTAGCAACAATAATAGTAACACTGAAATGACATGGCACATTGAATTCTGTGCAGCATACCCTGTCTTTTTTTTTTTTTGACAGGCAGAGTGGACAGTGAGAGACAGAGAGAAAGGTCTTCCTTTTTGCCATTGGTTCACCCTCCAATGGCAGCCGCGGCCGGCGCACTGCGCTGATCTGATGGCAGGAGCCAGGTACTTATCCTGGTCTCCCATGGGGTGCAGGGCCCAAGGACTTGGGCCATCCTCCACTGCACTCCCTGGCCACAGCAGAGAGCTGGTCTGGAAGAGGGGCAACCGGGACAGAATCCGACGCCCCGACCGGGACTAGAACCCGGTGTGCTGGCGCCGCTAGGCGGAGGATTAGCCCATTAAGCCACGGCACCGGCTCATACCCTGTCTTGTAAAATTAACATATATTAGAAAGAGCCAGCGTGACATGATATAGGGCTGATCCGATGACTAGAGTGTTAGAGTTGCCTAAGAAAATGACAGCTGGGTATAGTCCTGAGTCCAGCACCATTTCAAGGATTCAATATGAGAACAGGAAATAATGCCATGGGGTGTAACTGAGTTTCATTCTAAAGCCTGAGAGAAACACGGCATTTTGCTCTTGAGAAAACCCTTTATCTTTCCCACCTCCATGTTATTGTCTATGGTTGCCAGGGCAGAGATTTACATAGGTATGAGCTAGATTTCATCTGGTAAATATCTGTAGAGCAGCTTCTATGCTCACTGCTGGGGCATATGCTGAAGCCCACATACAAGAAATGTAAGTCATCATCCCTGCTCTCCAAAGGCAGGAGTTCCTGTTTGACTTTCGAGTCTTAAGAATTTAGGTAGAGCCAGAACCCATTTGTAAATGAGGAAAGATGTTCTCACTGGTGCACACATCATGGTGGCATAGTTTTATGAATGGAATATGGGCCACATCTCAGCCCTCACTGATCCTTCAGTCTGCCCCTGCACATCTTTTTGTGTTTTGATGGCCATCTTATCTCGAGGAGGACATGTAGTTAGGTCTGCCAAGAATCCTAAGCTGCATGAGGGAACAAAAGACCTTCTGGTGAATAAATCATGCTAAGGAAAGAGAAATTAGAAACAGACAACTTTAATCCAAGGCCAATATATCACAGTAAAATAATCTGGGAGATTCCAAAGGCAGCATGGTATCTGTGAATAGTGAGATGGAAGAGTTGTTTAAACAAAAGGTCTCCTGATGGGAGAACACTGGGAGAAGGAGGAGCGCCTACTGGGATCTTCTACATTAGAATATGGAACAGAGATGCTATGTGGGGGATGGAGTTTGGTGGTGCCATGTAGCAGCCCATGAAGTTTTAGTTCAGATCAGCTAAAGGAGGTAGAAGTTTTGAGATGGCCATAGGTTGTCCAAGTGATGACTCCTCCAGCATTAGATCAGACAGGGAGGGTGGAAAATGTCAACTCCACTCGTCAATATACATACACTTGTTGGAACATTCCAGAAGACAGGGAGAGGGGGAGACTTCTAAAAAAGTGCTAAAGCTTCTGAGATTGTGACTTCAGGAAGAGTGAATATATCAACCTTGTTACAGTTACTGTGGCATTGTCTGTATCTCAATGTGGACATCATTAGGGAAACCAGAATAACACAGACACACACCTTTGAAAGAGTGAAGCAATGATGAATACCACTGTAGCATGATATTCCCTCACCACAGGGTGTGCAGTACAGGGTGTGGGCAGTTGCTGTATGCCAGCTGTCTCTACACATTCCACTTGAAGCAGAGTTCACTTGCTGAGGAGGAAAGAATGTGCAGGATGGTGAGCAACTTCCAATAATTAATAACTGGAGGTTCCTCTACAATCCTCTTAAACATCTATTTCAGTAAAGGAGGAGTCAGAAGAGGGGAAGAGGAAGGAAGTTGGGGAGGGGAAGGTGTGTGAAGGCAAGTGAACCCTAAACTGGGAACCAAGATCCTGGGTTCTCCAGCTAGCAGAATGGGTATGGGAACTGGATCAACCTGTAAGATTTCATTTTCTCATTTGTAGAATGAAGGGATAGAGTGAACAGATTTTAGCTTTCCATCCTGAGCTGGATGCTCACATTTACTTGTCTTTTAATTTGGTAATTATTGAAAAAGGAACTTTTGTCTACACATCATGTGAACAATTTGTGGCTTATTCTGGTAGCATAGGACTGCAAGCTTTGCTTTCTGACTGGACTTTTTGGCTGGAGACTAACCAAGTTGGGGCTCCACAAGTGCTCATAAAGTAATGTTTCTGGACTTCTGAGCAAACTTGTTTTGCTACCTCTCCCACAGTTTTTATTTCCTTTCTTGCTTCCTCCATGTCAGATCCCTATTTCCTTTTTGGTCACTGTATAAATGTGTGAGACTTCACCTAACCCTATCAGAGTGTCTGGGCAGTTAGTCTGTGTTTTTGCACATCCTGCCAAAATAAGCTTGGTCATTTACCTCTGTTTATTTTCTCTTTCCAGACATCAGGTATTGTCTGCATTCCAGCGCCCACACAAAAGTAGTATCTCCCCAATTAAGGCTGTGCACTTTCTGATTGTTGCTAACTTTGGTGGATTTGGCTCCAGACCAACCAGAAGCATTTATCAAACAGCAGCCGGTGGCATTTGGTTTCTTCAAGTACTTTCAAATTCTCTACAACAGTCCTTCAAATGACATTTTTAATAACCAACCTTAAAATAGAGAGGAGAAGAGGGGAGGGTATAGAGGAGGAGAGTGAGGTGGGGGAAGGGCAATCAAAGAATAAACTACAAGGGAAGGAACCCAAAGAAAATTGGACACTTGACCACCCTTCCTTCCAGGACACACATTAGAAATTTGCCTTTTTAGGATATGGTAATCCAGATTTTGCTCAAACTGAATTCAAACACTTATCCATTACTATTAGATTGATTCTACTCTTGCTCACAAATTACTAGTGTTGCCTGACCTAAGGACTTTTTAGGCTCTTATTCAGATTTATCTTCTGGAGTCAATGTTTTGGCAATTTATCTGCCTTACTCAGCAACTTTCACTGGCTCCATAATGCTGGATACTCTTTATAGTTCTGAGTAGAGCTAATTTTTTGGTCTATTTCCACTGCTTTTCTTTTTAAGTGTGTATTTCTATCTATTTGAAGGCAGAGAGGGGTAGGGGGGAGAAGGGGAGGAGGTAGAGGAGAGAGAGAGAGGAAGAGAGAGAGAGAGAGAGAGAGAGAAATCTTCTATCTGCTAGTTTCCTCCCCAAATGTCCACAGCAGTCAGGGCTAGGCCAGGCTGAAGGCAGGAACCAGAAATCCCATCCAGGCCTCCCATGGGGGTGACAAGAGCCCAAGTACACCAGCAGGAAACTGGACCAAGGCTTGAACAGGCAGTCTGATACTGGATGAGGGAAACAAGCCACACTATTCACAAAAACACTAAAACTACTATTCTTTTGGCTTTAGAGTTTCACTTTAATTCCTTATTGCAACTATGTCAAATGTTGAGTACACATACTTCTCAAACTAGGTATTTTCCTGTTGCCTATCAATGAAGTACCTCAAATGTTCCACAAATATTCTCATATTCTCTGCTAGGAATGAAGTGAGCTCTATCCTCATTTGAAACTTGTTACAGCAAACATAGAGAAAGAATATGTGGTTTCAGGATTGATTGACCAATACTTACACTGATGACAGAAAGAGAAAAAATGTGGTTAAAACAAGACAAAAGACCTTTTGTCTTACAATACTGAAAATAACAGTGATGAGGAGGTAGTAAAATTTTGTGTACAGCTGATGAGCATTATGGAATGTGTTTTCTTAGACATCTCGTGTTATGATAATAAGAGAAACACATAAAACTGTTTAGAGTGATTAAAGAATGATTTACATATGAGTAAGGCTGGAGGAAAATTTAATCAAGTTAACTTGCCAGGTACATAAATATTGTCAATATTGTCCAAGAAGAAGTAGATGCTGCTGCTGATTTTCTGTTTCCATGGAAAATTGGTAGAGGAAAAGAAGAGGAAGCAAAACGCTTTTAACCATCTACTATATGACACCTTTGTGCTTAGCAATTGCCTCACTTGATCCTTAGACGAATCTCCCCAGGGGAATCATCATTATCCTCCTTTTACACCATGTTGGAAACCCAAAGCAAATGGCCCAAATCACTTAGTTGCCAATGGCACAGCCAGGACATTGGCAGAAAACACCCTGCCCACAGGACTGTGTTCTCTCCATCTTGAACACCTATGATTATTTTTGTATTTAATCATTCAGTTCTTTCCTTCTTGTTCTGCAAAAATTACACAGGATGTTATCATCATGACCTGTTCAGTTCTGTTAAATATGATGATTACAATTTTGAAATCATTTTAGTACTGAACAGCTGTTCACCAAACAGTTTCCAAGATGGCATCTCCATTCTGCATACACACACATTATCTAAAACAAGGTGCTTTTCTATTTTGGCTAAGGCACAGTTCCTTCCCGTTGAGTTGTGCCCACCTCATTGTTCCACCTCAGCTGAACTGTGAACGTGACAGCAAAATACTGAAACACGTGTCTGGACAGTTAACGGCCCATTCTCTTCTGGACCCAAACAAGTAATGAGAATTTCTGCTCAGCTTCAACTATTACCAAATGTGTCTTTGAAAACTCATTCCTTAAGTTTAACAGAGTATTAACTAAACTTAACAATGTCTGAGGAGTTTGGAAATTCCCATAGCAGTATTAACATTAAATCTATTGAAAATATGAATTAGGCTATGCTGTCCGATGTTTTGGGAGATGGGAAGTAGACATGGCAAACCCACAGATATGGAATCAAATTTCCAAAGGAGGAGCAATCATTGCTGAAAATAGTGTACACCTGTGTGGGTTGCTCTATGGATATATGGGACAATGGTTTCCTTAGTGTCTGAAAAAGTTAAAGGGGCCGGCGCTGTGGCGCAGTAGGTTGAACCCCTGGCCTGCAGTGCCAACATGCCATGTGGGCACCAGTTTAAGTCCTGACTGCTCCACTTCTAGTCCAGGTCCCTGCTAATGCACCTGGGAAAGCAGCGGAGGATGGCCCAAGTGCTTGGGCCCCTTCACCCACTTGGAAGACCTGGAAGAAGTTCCTGGCTCCTGGCTTCAGATCGGCTCAGCTCTGGCTATTGGGGCCATTTGAGCATTTGAGGAGTGAAACTCTCTCTCTCTCTCTCTCTCTCTCTCTCCCTCTCTACCTCTCTCTGTAACTCTTTCAAATGAATAAAATAAATCTTACCAAAAAAAGTTTTTTTTTTTTTTTTTTTTACAGGCAGAGTGGACAGGGAGAGAGAGAGAGAGAAAGACAGAGAGAAAGGTCTTCCTTTGCCATTGGTTCACCCTCAATGGCCGCCATGGGCGGCGCGCTGCAGCCGGCGCACCGCGCTGATCCGATGGCAGGAGCCAGGTGCTTCTCCTGGTCTCCCATAGGGTGCAGGGCCCAAGCACTTGGGCCATCCTCCACTGCACTCCCGGGCCACAGCAGAGAGCTGGCCTGGAAGAGGAGCAACCGGGACAGAATCTGGCGCCCCGACCGGGACTAGAACCCGGTATGCCGGCGCCGCTAGGTGGACGATTAGCCTATTGCGCCGCGGCGCCGGCCCAAAAAAGGTTAAGACAAAGATCCAACAAGAAGATTTCCTATTTACTGGGTGCCATTCAGTAAAGGCATCTTTCTGTGGCCTCCAAATCAGAAGTCATGGAGAGCAAACACTACAGTTAATTACTGCGTTCTTAAGACTTCATCGGAGATCTTTTCGGAAGGATAAAATTTGTGTGATCACTGGATTTCTGAGCCAAAGGTATGTATGTTTTAATAATCCATGTCATTCTTGTACATCTTAGAGAAACTTTGGACAACAATTTGGAATATATGCACACAAAATATTAATTCTAATCCCAGTGAGTAATCAGATTAACCGTATTCATAGAATAGACTTGAGAGAATTAATAGGTGGGTGTGCCAAAATGAGTAAATGAATCCATTATAATATATTATGTCACAATCCTATCTCTGCTATCATCATTTTAAAATAAAAATAACATTTAGCAAGTTCTGCACTGCAAAGTTGGAAATAGAATGTTAAAGAGTTGTCATTATTTCTTCTTTGGGAAGGATTGTGACTGATAAGATAACTATTGCTTAAACTATTTTAGTATGTGAATTTGGCACAGATAAATTCTCTTTTCTATGTGCTAATTACTGTAATTTGATCATTATAATGATTGTAATTTCATATTCACTTTATATGAGATAGTCGCTTAACACTGCCTGTCACATCATAGTAAATTTGCTTGTAAGATATTTTTTGGGGGGAACTATTATATCCTATCAACAATGCCTTCAGTGGCTTAATTATGATATGCCTTCAGGATTTTATAACACCTCTTATAAAGCCTATTTCCTGAATGAGAATGTTAGATTTCTAAAAGCTATGTCAAGATAGTATTTCAAATGAATTTCTAGTTGCATTTGTAATATTTTTATGAGAAAAATTTTTGAAGATGACATAAAATTTCATGAGATATTTATTTAATTGATAACGCATATACCTGTAAAGCAAGTTCATATATTTACAAAAGGAATAAGAAAACCCTTGGGGCTGGCACTGTGGCATGGAAGGTTAAGCCTCCATCTGCAGTTTGGGTATCCTATATGGATGCCAGTTCAAGTCCCAGCTGCTCCACTTTCCATCCAGCTCCCTGCTAATGCATTTAGTAAGGCAGTGGAAAATGGCCTAGATGAAGCTCCTGTCTCCTGGCCTCAGCCTGCCCCATGCGTGGCCTTTGCAGCCATTTGTGGAGTGAACCATCAGATGGAAGATCTCTCTCTCTCTCTCTTCTTCTCTCTCTGTATTTTTGTTTTTCAAATAAATAAATGAAATATTTAAAAAAAATAAAGAAAACCCTTTATATACTGATTTCCAAAGGTTTCCATGGTACATTACAGAATGAAAAATAAATAAATAAAAATAAATGTATATAGGATATAGCTTTGGAACAAAATAGGGAATAGATAAAAATCAACCTCTGTATTTTTAAATCTGCATAAAGAAAAACTCTGGTAGGATTGATGAAAGTAGTAAGAGTGGTTTTACAAAGGCAAAGAGAATGGTGTTATCAGTAAATTAGTGACTAGCAGATGGGTTTAAAGAGAGACTTCCACTGTATTCCTTGTTTTAGGATATTCACTCATGGTTCCAAGTGCTATGAAGATATTTTGATATTCATACAGCCCACTATGTCAATCTTTTATTCTTTTTGGATTCTTAGTCATACATTTAAAGCCTTTAGGTTGGGGTGCATATGTTGCTTATCAGTTAAGACATCTGTGTCCCAAACTGGAGAGCCAGCTTTGAGTCCTGTCTCCACTCCTGACTCCAGTTCCTTGCTAATGCAGACCCTGAGAAGCAGAAGTGACGGCTCCAGTAACTGAGTGCCTGCCATCCATGTGAGAGACTTGGATTGAGTTCCCCAGCTCCAGGCTTTGGCCTCCAGCCCAGGGCCATTGCCAACATTTGGGATAGTGAAACATGGGACAAGCTGAATTTCACTCTGTCTCTCTGCCTCTCAAATAAATAAGAAAAATTTCAAGATTTTGTCTTTTAATTCTTCATGTATAATTTTAGTTAAATATTTTACTGATTTGTAGTTTATTATAGTTAATATTATGAGAAATGATGGTTATCCAGTGGTCTCAACCCAACCTACTGAATAAACAATTATTTTCCTGTTGATCGGATGGCCATGCTATCTTCCTAACACATTAAATCCTTTTGATGTATTTCAACTTTATATTCCTTTACATTGCTTTGTCTATGTATATGTCCCTATACTTTAATTATTAAGTCTTAGTGCTTTATAATATATTTGTCTACCCTGCTGTAATTGTTCTTCTGTTAGACATTTTTGGCTTTTCTTTTTTTAAAGTCTTTAATAAAATCAGATTCGTCTAGCTTAAAAATAACATTTAATTGAACCACTATAATCCAAAAGCTGTACTTTTGAAATTTATATTTATTAAATAAAAGTTTTATATTAAAAAAGAAAAAACATTCAATTGAGATTGTCCTAAATTTATAAATATACTTCAGGGAAATTGACACCCTTATAGTGTTGAGGCTGTCTGTCCCCAAACCTGATGTATTTCTCTTTATTCAAATGACTTCTTTTTTACCAAAGAGACTAATTATTTCTCTTTGGTATTTTGTCTGTGGTACATTTTTTTCCAGACATATCTAGCACAGTTCTTATTAAATTTATTCCTAGGTATTATAAACTTTTTGGTGCTTATTAAAATTGATTCATCTTTCACATATTCAAGTAGTTATTTCTTTATGTGAAATATATATATGATTATTTTTACCTCTTTACCTTACCGGGTTTCTTTTTATTGTTCGTAATTATTTTCTAGTTGGTTCTCTTGGCTTTTTCAGATGCACAATCATGTTATTTGCAAATGTGATAATTCTAATCCTTTTCATTTCTCATGTCCCTTTTTTTCTTATCTAATTACAATGGGTAGTTTACTAACTTACTATAAAAGATCTGCAAAGATTGGAAAAAAGCTTATAGCACATTTTGGTTAAAAATTTGGGTCAAGAATCTATTTATACAATGCATTATTTCAAAAAACTGTTTTGACTGTAGGAATGTGACTTATTAATTAGAGGATTTTGTTGAGGCAATATTTCTAAGAAAGAAAAACTAATTCACTGGTTATTAAAACCATCTTTAGGGGCCAGTGCTGTGGCACAGCGGGTTAACGCCCTGGCCTGAAGTGCCGGCATCCAATATGGGCACCAGTTAGAGTCCTGGCTTCTCCTCTTCTGATCCAGCTCTCTGCTATGGCCTGGGAAAGCAGTGGAAGATGGCCCAAGTCCTTGGGCCCCTGCACCCACGTAGGAGACCTGGAAGAAGCTCCTGGCTCCTGGTTTCAGATCGGCACAGCTCCAGCAATTATGGCCAATTGGGGAGTGAACCATCAGATGGAAGACCTCTCTCTCTTTTTTCTCTCTCTCTGTAACTCTGACTTTTGAATAAATAAACAATTAAAAAAAAGAAGAACCATCATTAGTACAAAAAACTGGAGATTTCTTTTTTTTTTTAAACTTTCATTTAATGAATATAAATTTCCAAAGTACATTTATGGATTACAATGGCTTGCCCCCCATACCGTCCCTCCCACCCGCAACCCTCCCCTTTCCCACTCCCTCTCCCCTTCCATTCACATCAAGATTCATTTTCGATTCTCTTTATATACAGAAGATCAGTTTAGCATACTTTAAGTAAAGATTTCCACAGTTTGCTCCCACACAGAAACATAAAGTGAAAAATAATAGATGATTTTTTAAATGATGATGAAATCAGATCAGACCTATTGTCATGTTTAATCCCAGTGAGAGTCAAGTTGGGAATTGATAATTTCTTTTTTTTTTTTAACAGAAGATCAGTTTAGTATACATTAAGTAAAGATTTCAACAGTTTGCTCCCACACAGAAACATAATGTGAAAAATACTGTTTGAGTACTCGTTATAGCATTAAATCTCAATGTACAGCACACTAAGGACAAAGATCCTACATGAGGAGTAAGTGCACAGTGACTCCTGTTGTTGGCTTAACGAATTGACACTCTTGTTTATGGCCTCAGTAATCACCCTAGGCTCTTGTCATGAGCTGCCAAGGCTATGGAAGCCCCCTGAGTTCACTGACTCTGATCATATTTAGACAAGGCCATGGTCAAAGTGGAAGTTCTCTCCTCCCTTAGAGAAGGTACCTCCTTCTTTGATGACCCATTCTTTCCACTGGGATCTCACTCGTGGAGATCTTTCATTTAGGGTTTTTTTTTTTTTTTCCCAGAGTGTCTTGGCTTTCCATGCCTGAAATACTCTCATAAGAGAGGGAAAAGATGTGCAATTAGGGACATGCTCAAGCTGACTTACCTCAAACGGTAGAGTTAGAAACATACCAGGGGATTCCAATTCAATCCCATCGAGGTGGCATGTACCAATGCCATCTCACTAGTCCCAGTGATCAATTTCTGTTCACAATTGATCATAATGATAGGACTAAGAACCAAATGATCACAGAAACAAGACTAGTGTCTGCAAATACTAGCTGATAGAATAAAAAAGGGAGAGAATGATCCAACATGGGAAGTGAGATACACAGCAGACCCATAGAATGGCAAATGTCCTAAACAGTACTCTGGCCTCATAATCAGCCCTTAAGGCAT